AAACCTTCCTGGTACCTTGCCTGGATTCCAATGATAAAAAAATGCTTGTTTTATGCTGATAGTTTGCTCATTTTCTATGAAACTATAATAACTGGATTGCATACATTATTTCTTGCATCCTCTCAAGGTTAAAATACTTCTCTCATCTCAGTTCTAAACTTAACTCTTCTCTTTCAGGTTTAGCTTGGATGTCACCTTTGCTGAATGCCCTCCCACCCTTATGCCTGTGTACTCAATATCTGTACACTGAACTGGAGGTTCCTCTTCTGGACCCAGGATCCTGTCCAGGACTTTGTACCTTCCCCTTTCTCCTCTAGTTTCATGTTTAGATGTAAATTCCCCCATAACAAGGACAGATAGCAAGGCTCTGGTGGTTCTGAGTAATGAGTAATCCTTACTCAGAAAGTTAAGATTTATAGGACTGCTGTTCGAAGACAGCCGGGGCAGAAAAGGCCAAGAGACTCTAATATCCAATTTACCACTCAAAGCCAATAGTGGAGCTGTGGATCAAGTGGTAGAGAGCTGGTTTTTGAGCATATAAGAGCTATAGGACAGCACCCAGGCCTTGAGTTCAAGCCCTGGGACTGGCATGTGTGTGCATACACACACACACACACACACACACACACACACACTCACCCACACACACCAGAGAGCTGGTGTAGTCCTCTTTGAACCTCTAAGAACTTGGCATATTAAATGTTTATTGAAAAGTAGCTTGTCCTTAAAACAGAGGGAACAGAGCCTAAAGTAACCAACATTTAACTTCCTGTTTCCTGCTCCCATTTACTTTGGGCCCCGTCTCGAGCAAGGGTAACCAAGAGAACAAACTATGGTTTTTCCCTTCAATGGCCTTTCAGGATGAATGGGAAGAGTAACAGGAACACTAGGATTACTGAGCACCAGTGGCATATGCCTGTAATCCTAAACTAGGCCACTCAGAAGGTTGATATCCAAAGATGGAGGTTTGAGCTGGGTGATGGTGGCTGGCACCTATAATCCTAGCCACTCAGGAGGCCAAGATCTGATGTTCACAGTTCAAAGCCAGCTCTGGCAAGAAAGTCCTTCAGATTCTTATCTCTAATTAACCACCAGAAAACCAGAGGTGGCAATGTGTATCAAAGTGGTAGAGTGCTAGCCTTGAACAAAAAAGCTTAGGGACAGCACCCCGGTCCTGAGTTCAAGCCCTATGAGACCGACAAAAAAAAAAAAAAAAAAAGGAAGTTTGAAGCCAGCCTAAGTAGGAAATTTCATGAGACTCTGTCCAATTAACCTGAAAACAAAACAAAATAAAACAACCCGAAAGTGGAGCTGTGGCTCAGATAGTGAATATGAATATCTATTGAGAATACAGGGAGCAGCTATATGGGTTCTAGTCATTCATTTTGTATACATTTTGAATATATCATAAGCTTAAAACTTTTAAGAAGTTGCTAATCAAGGTGGTATAAACTAACCTCTGAATACTCTGACAGTCTTCAGTGACAGTCCCAAAAAGGAGAATATGAAGAATTTGACTATTTTGTGTATGTGTGTGTGTGCGTGCATGCACATGTGCACATGTGCACACACACACACACACATACACACACAAGCATTCCAGTCCTGGGACTTGAACTCAGGGCCTGGGCACTTTCCCTTAGCTTTTTCACTGAAGGCTGGCACTTTACCACTTGAGCCACTATTTCACCAGTGAAAAGCTGGTTAATTGAAGAGTCTCACAGACTTTCCTACCTGTGCTGATTTTGAACCCCAATCCTCAGATCTAAGCTTCCTGAATAAGTAGGATTACAGGTGTGAGCCAACAGCACCCAACTTTGACTTTCTATTAATGCTAAAAGCTAAAAGACTAGAATTAACTCAGCATCTGTAGAGGTGCTAAATGCTAAAAGCAATGCTAAAAGCATTGACAAGCAAGATCTTTGGTGACTGGCAAACATCACTGCTTGCTGTATAGAGGGAGAAATAAGAAGGAAGAAAACCCATAAGAATTTTGTTTCTGTTTGGTTGGATCAGATCAACCTCCCAGGACGGTGGAAAGATCAGATCTATGAACACTGGCCTTCTTACAGACAACAATCCTAGACAATTGTAAGCAACTGCCGCAGGCACATCTTAGAGAGCTATGCAGTACACAACTGTGACCTTTATTTCTGGGACCCACCTTGACACCGATGGTTGATGGGCTCAACATCTAAATCCAAGGTCTAGACTGTTTTCAGCCCTACATGCAGCTCATTGGTGTGGAGAGAGCATCAGAACCATGAGGGACCAATCTAATTCTTTCTCTCAAGATTTGCCAATTTTGAACTGAGGCAGAGCTGATTGCTGCTGGGTGGGGTTGCTTTAGTAGGAAAGGTGTAGTGATTGGCTCCATACGCTTGAATCTGCCATGGCTCTGGCCTTTCAATTGTTCAACATTTTCTTGAAATTTAATAAATTTATTAATATTATTATTTGTCAGAGTCAATTTCTATTGACTTTGTCTTATGGAATAGGTTGCTATTCTATTATCTTCTAGCTGTCACTAGTACTGCTGCTAATAATATGCTATCTTTATTATGTTAGAAAAAGAGATCCCCCCCTCTCTGGGAAAATTACAAAATGCTGTTCTTCCCTTTTGGCAGACACAGCCTCTCATCGGGAAGGACGGTTTGGCCAGTGGAATGTGAAGTTGGGTTTCAGACCTCACTCTGCCTCTTTTCATGGCCAGGCTCCTTTGTGCAAGTACACAGACTGTATAACCATTCATGGCTCCCCTGCCTGCCCACCACTCATGTGCTAGCTGATTTCCTGACATTCTGGTATTGTTCCAAAAATGAAGTGTTAAGCTGGGCATCAGCGGCTCACATCTATAATCCTAGCCACTCAGGAGGCTGCTCTGGGGCTCATGGTTCGAAGCTGTCCTGGGCAGGAAACTCTATCTCCAATTAATCACCAAAAAGCCAGAAGTAGAGCTTTGTTACAAGTGGTTGAATGCCAGCCTTGAGCAGAAAATGCACCAAGACCCCGGAGTTCAAGTCTTAGTAGTACCAAAAAAAAATGTTATTCCAGTCAAGACTTTTGCTGGCAATGATAAAGGTTTTAAAGGTATCGTTGTTGTTGCTGTTATTATTATCACTAGAAACCAGATGACCTTCAAGGATATGCTGCAGGCAAGAGTTTACAGGAAAGCGAGGAAAATGTATTAGAAGCAGGAGAAAAGGGACTTTAGGTTGTAGAAGAAAGTTTTAGCCACATGGTCACTTGAAGTGATGTAAACAATAGAAAATGTGCCTAGGGAATTAATGGGTTGGACTGAAGGGATTTTTAAGCAGACTTCTAGAAGTGTTAATTGGATTATTTTAGTTGCATATAACAAGGACAGAAAAAGACGAATTCAAAAGGAAGTGAACTTACAAGAAAAAGTTACAGAAAAATGTAAAAGAACCAAGGATTTGCTGGGTTTGAAAATAAATCTGCTTCTTATGCATAGTCTCCATAAATGGGAAAATATTCTCAGAGTATGAAAGGACTTCGGGACAAAGATAAAACCCGAAGTGAAATGATAAGACCCTTTGTCAAAACCTCAGAAAGAACTAATGGCTCATAAAATCTTTCAGATAGACAAAGGCCCTTTAAATATTTCAAGAGCATGCTTCCCAGCTTCCCTTCATTAAGCAGGAGGGCTTCTAACAATCTGAAGGGAATTGTCCCAGAATAGCTTCCTCAAGAAGCTTAGGGTAGAGAACAGCTCATCTTGATGAGATTTGTGGGTATAGCCTTTGACTAATGAAGTTAACCCCAATAGGACCCATAGAAAACCCACAAAGCTATACATAGAATTATATTGTCTGCAGCACATCAACTTAGACTAAAAGGAATGGTCTAGTACAAAATGAAAAGAGGTCTTAGGACCCCCCCCCCAAAACTCTGGGGGAAGGAAACAAGCAAAACAAAACAAAAAACAAACCACTCATTTGTAAACCCCAACCATATTTTATAGAAAAGGAAGATGAGTCAGAAAAGGGAATCCAGAGCCCAGAGACAAAGACTAGAGCCATGGGACCTCAGTCCTAGACAGTAGCAGTGAGCTCTAATCCACAAATGTGTGCCTGGAGGGATTTCAAAATTGCTATGCTTCAGTGCCTGCCATGTGCTCCCCTTGACTCATAAGGGATGGACTCTGTTGTTTTGACCCCCTGTATTGTGGGGGTATATAAAAAGCAGGTGACTTGGCCCTTAGTTTTTTAAATAAAGAAGAATAGAGTGAAGGTGCCTGAAGAATCATATCAGAGAAATACGCTTCACACCTGGATGGTTTAGATGATGTGATCCTAGACTCCTGGCCTTACCCGATGCTATGATAGATGTGTGTGTGTGTGTGTGTGTGTGTGTGTGTGTGTGTGTGTGTGTGTTGTGCATGTGTGTATGTATGTATGGTGGGGGGAGAGGATCCTTAGAAGGAAGTGAGTATATTTTTCACGTAAGAGCAATAGAAATAATTTCTGTTCAGAGGATAAACTGTGGTGGCTTTAAAAATGTTTTGTATTGACCAACACATTTCCTATCAAGAAATGGGATTGGACCCAGTGCCTGTGGCTCACACCTGTAGTCCTAGCCAATCAGGAGGCTGAGATCTGAGGTTTGAAGCCAGCCAAGACAGGAAAGTTTGTGAAATTCTTATCTACACCTAACTAGCAGAAAAGCCAGAAGTAGAGCTGTGGCTCAAGTGGTAGAATGCCAACTTTGAGCAAAAAAAGACAAATGAGTACACAAGGTCTTGAGTTGAAGCCCCAGTATTACTGGCAGGCATGTGTGTGTGTGCGTGCGCGCGCACACACACACACACACACACACACACTGAAAGAAATGAAATTGATGTCACCATCCCCTGTACCTGGGCAGGCCTTTGTAATCTTTTTTAACATATAGAATGTGGTAGGAAATGACACTCCATGATGTCCAAGTCTGGATCAGAAAAGGTGACAGGCTCTGTCTTGTGTCTCCATCCCCTCAAGGCCCATGGTTTTGGATCCTGAGTTGTCCTGTTAGGAGTCTGGGTACTATGGAGCTGTCATGTTGAAGAGCTTTGTATGAAGAGACTGCACAGAGACAGAGGCCCAAGGAAACCCAGCTGTTCTAACCCTGCCGTGCCTACGTCCTCTATGCTCAGCCACAGACCTGTGCGTGAAGATGTCTCTAATGTGACCCAGCTTCATTCATAGTCTTACTCCAACCTCAAGAGACCTCCCCCCGCAACCCAGGATTTCCCAGCTGACCACAGAAACCATGAATGGTAAGACATGACTTTTGTTGTTTTAAGCTACTAAGCTTTGGCTTGTTATTAAGCAATAGACAATCTCTCTCTCTCTCTCTCTCTCTTTTGTCGGTCATGGGGCTTGAACTCTGGGCTTGGGTACAGTCCCTCAGCTCTTCAGTTCAAGGTGAGTGCTCTACCACCTGAGCTACAGTGCCACTTCTGGTTTTCTGGTGGTTTATTGCAGATAAGAGTCTCACAGACTTTCCTGCCCCGGCTGGGCTTTGAACCATGATCCTCAGATCTCAGCCTCCTGAGTAGCTAGGATTACAGGCGTGAGCCACCAGCGCCCAGTTAGACAATCTCTTTAAGCAAAAGTGTTCTTGTCTATATAATAGAACTAAGATCAGTCCTATCTTAGAAAGTAAATCAAGGGGTCATGAGTTCGCAAAGTTTGTGAAATCTTTAAAAGCACCAAATCTGGTGTCTGGATGTAGTAACCACTTGGTAAATGTTACTTATCCTTGACAGGGCCTCTCAGTGGTTGTCACCCTGGGAATCAAACAGAAGTGGCACTTAATTTGTGAACTCTGGCTAAGAAGGAACTTGCATACATGACACTGAATATTTGTTAAATAAATGAAAGAAAAAAAACAATGATTATTTTTGGGTTGGGAACCATACCTCCTGATACTCGCTCATTTGTAGAATTCCTCCCTCCTCTCCCCCCCACCCCTCCCCCACCCCCACAACTGGACTAGGCCTGTGACTTGCCTTATCCAACAGAACACGGCCAAGTCTGAGCTTTTAATAAGGCATAGATGCTTTTTGTACCCTGAGGAGCCCTGAAGTATGGTTATTCATTTGGGGGATTTCACATGGAGGGGAGACCTGGAAAAGCCATGTGGGGAGAGAATGGCTCTGAGAATGTGTTGGAGAGGGAATCCCCACAGTTCTTAGAGCCCAGAGGAGCCTCTCAGGGCTCTTGAGCCTAGTCAAGCTCCCTAGATGTGCATTCCCACTGCCATCTGGCTGTAGCTTCGTGAGAGACCCCAGGGAGGGCAGTGGATGAATTGCACAGTCAACGTATAAAATTGTGAGAGATAATACATGTTGATATAGTTATTGGTTCAGTGTAAGTCATTGCATTTTTATGGTGGTTTGTTGCATAACAGTAAATGATCAAAAAATAAGTGTGTAGCACAGGGCTTGGCAGACAGCAGATATTCAATCAAGATTGGTTAACTCAATGAACGAATGACTTAATTCTTTTCTTTCCAGGCCTTTTCTTTTCCAGGACTTCTCTGAGGCCTGGTGCTCCTGAGTTGTGGCAATGAATTGTTGATTAACCAACCAACCTCAAGAAAATGGGCTCTGTATCAAGTCTATATTGCCAAAAGTAAGCGTCCCACTAGCTCTATAGCACCTGGTGCATACTACGTGCAGGAAGGCTATTGGTGTGTCTGCAACATGGGTGAATCTCATGGGCCTGATGGTGAGTGAAATCAGCCAATCACAAGTACACAGACTGTTGTGATTCCATATAAACAAAGTTCAAAACCAGGCAAAATTAATTGCTAATGAGAGAAATTTATAAGCATGGTAACCTGGAAGCACATGGATAATGCCTTGAAAGGGGGCCCCAGGGAACCTTCTGGACACTGAAAATGTGCTGTGAGTCCTTTAGTTGGGGTGTTGGTATGCAGAAGTTCATGGCTTGTGCATGTGACTATATGTGCATTTGACATGGTGTGGCCTCCTTCACACTGGAGTGAGCTTCAGGAATTCCCTAACTGCGGACCTTTTGCTGTCTGTGAGACTTGCTCCTCATCCCTGGAGCAGCCATGGGCAGCCATATCATCTCATTTGGCCTGAACTGGCTGGCACTGCCAGGCTTGGCAAGGGCTGAGTTGACAATGTGCTCTTAGGGAGGGCATGGTGGCTGGCTGGTGGGGTCTGGGAGAGCCTATGAGCTGGTGAGTATGGAAAAGAGCCAAGGTTTGGGCTGTTTGGAATAAGAGCCTGGAAACACATGGTTGGTGTGTTGGGCTCATTCCTGAAGGGGAGGGGAGGAGAGGGATGGCCGAGGGCGGAAATCCTGAGTGCTCTGCTCACAGCTCCCCCCTCTCGGTCCTGTCCCTTGGGGGTTCCCTGCTCCTCCTGCAGCTGTGCGTTGTACGTTTTGCTCAGAATGCTTTGCTGGAAGTGGTGACTCTGCATTCCAGGGCTTTTAGTCATTTTCTCTCTTGGAGCTTTGGGGCTGGGATTAGAACGTTCTTCAAACCACACTGTCCTCGGCTGGACTCCCAAGAGGAAGTGGGTGGGTCCCTGTGGGTAAGAACATGGGCCTAAATTCAGGCACATAATGACAAGAGATCAAGGCTGGCCCCAGTAAACCCCTAGAGATCAGCTGAGGGAGGTGCCCGTACGTGAGGGACAGAAGTGTGTGGGGTGGTGACTCTTGGCCTCTCTAGCCATGGGCCAGGAGGAGTGCACATTCTGTCTGGTGTATGTAGTGTGTGTGTGTGTGTGTACGCGCGCACACACACACGCACGTGCGCGAGCACACATGCAAGGGTGTAAGGTGTGTATGTGGACAGTACAAGGTCAGTAGCAGCATTTCATTTCCCAATAGACCACATGCTCAGCCTCCTCTCCTCTCGTCTCCTCTCGTCTCCTCTCGTCTCCTCTCCTCTCCTCTCCTCTCCTCTCCCTTCCTCTTCCCCTCCCCTCTTCTTCTTCTTTTCTTCCTCCTTCTTCCTCATCTTTGTGTGTGTGTGTGTGTGTGTGTGTGTATACTGAATTTTGAACTCAGGGCCTGGGTCCTCTTGCTTGGCTTTTATTTTTAAGGCTAGTGCTCTACTACTTGATCCATGGTTCCACTTGTGGTTTTTTTTTGGTGGTTCATTGGAAACTAAAGTCTCATGGATTTTCCTGCCTGGGTTGGTTTTGAACATCTGCCATCAGATCTCAGCCTCCTGAGTGGCTAGGATTACAGGAATGAGTCACCAGTGCCAGGCTACATTCTTCATTTTTAAAAATTACTTTATTTTTGAATTCGCATAGATTTTGTAGTAAGAGGAGGTTTTATTGTGATACATAGTACATAACATACCCTTCCACCACCTCCCCTGCCCCCTTTTCTCTTCCTTCCTTCCTTTCTTTCTTTCTAACTTTCTCTCTCTTTCTTTCTTTCTTTCTCTCTCTTTCTTTCTCTCTCTCTTTCTTTCTTTCTTTCTTTCTTTCTTTCTTTCTTTCTTTCTTTCTTTCTTTCTTTCTTTCCTACCTCCCTCAAGCGGCTTCAGCCTGCAGGGTGCGAAGCTGCCCCAGCCCTGCCACCTCCCCAGGGAGGAGTGACACTGAGCAGAAACAGGAGAAGGGCAGTGACCTCAGCCTCCTCCTTGCTCTCAGATGACAAGTCTGGGCTCTGTTAAGGCAAGAACCAGGAACTGGGATCCAAGGCACAGTAAAGTTCACCTCCCTCTTCAGCCTCAACCAAAAGCAATCTCTGACTGCACGGGACGGGATGTTAAAATGCGTCTGTTCACTTCCCGAACCATTTGCTGGGCACAACATAGTCAGGTACCTCTTGGGAGTCTAGAACTGTCTGCAAGAAGGAAGGTTATGTCTCTGTTTTACTGATTAAAAGGCCCTAATGAAGGTTTTCTCATTCCCACATCAGGCCTCTGCTCAACATCTCTAATTCTTCCCAGATGGTGGCTGGTTCTCTCTTCCCATCCTCTAGCAGGGTGGGGCTTCAGAAAGTAGAAGGTTTGTGTCTGCCAGATGTGGGATCTCAGCTCTGCCACCTACCCCTGGGGGATGCTGGGATTAAGGAGAGGTGGAGTAGGGTGGTGAGGGGGTGGTGTTCAAAGCCTCTGTTTCTCCAGATAGACATTTTCTAAGATGTGTAAGTCAATGAACACATATAGGGTACCTGTAGGCAGGAAGAAGTAACTGATACTATTGCCCTGCCTTACCACACTGGATCTACCTTGGATGATGATTTGTGTGCGTGTGCACACATGCTAGTACTGGGGCTTGAACTCAGAGCCTGTGCACTTAACGCTTAGCTTTTTCCTTCAAGGCTAGTGCTCTACCACTTGAGCCATAGCTTCACTTCCAGCTTGTGTGTGTGTGTGTGTATGTGTGTGTGTGTGTGTGATTAATTGGAGGCAAGTCTCATGGCCTTTCCTGCCTGGGCTGACTTTGGACCACAATCCTGGGATCACAGCCTCCTCAGTACCTAGGATTACATGCATGAATCACTAAGTGAGCCATCGGTGCCCAGCTGATGATAATTCTGAGATAGAGTATCACGATGAGGACCAGGCTAGCTTTGAACTTCTTCATCTTCATACTTCAGCACCTTGAGTGCTGGGATTACAGGTGTGCACCACAATGAGCAACAGAAATATATATATATATATACATACATACATATATATATGCATGCACACACACATACAAGCTGAAAATAATTTTGATTTTCATGACAGATTGGTCTGATCAATGTGCAGCAAAAGTCTTCAGTCAGCAAAATTTGCCTTTGTGTTCCCCCCCTTCCCCCCAAAGTGACTTCCTCTATCTGTAGCACAGTTCCCTTTTTTTCAGGCTCTTTTTGGCTGGATTCCAGGACCCTGGGGGAGGGAGAGAACAGAGAAACCTCTGGATAACAGTGTTCAGGAGAGAGGGTCACCCAGGGCTGACAGGATGCTATCCCAGGGGCCCTGACAGGCAGGCCCATGTGGCATTCCTCTAACCGGGGAGGAGGCCGGGAACCAGGTCCCTGCAGGCATCTGTCTAGAGGATTGATGGGTGTCCCTGTGCAGGCCTCCCTTCTGCCTAGATCTCTCTTGACTGTCATTTGTAGCCTTAGAAGTTTGATCTTAGCTCTCAGGTTTGGTTTGGTTTTTTTTTTTCCTGCCAAGATCTCTCCGGAGGGAAAAATCTGCTTTATTTAAGCTGAAATTTTCAGAGTTTCCAAGGTGAAGGCTGGGCTGGGCAAGATCCTGGGGACAGAAGTTTGTAGGCAGGCCACCAAGAGTGGTCCTATGAGTTTGGGGCTTAAGGGTTCAGAGGAACGCTAGGAGGAAGATGGTGGGTGATGGCTTGTATGACTGTGTTTTATCTTTTTACCTGCAGAGGAGGAGAAGACCCTGAGGGTTGGGAGCACAGATGGTTCCTTCAGGGACTCCTTTCCTGGGGCAGAGGCTAAAGGAGGTACCAGAGGCAGGGGTGACATCCGTGAACTGGGGCCTCTCCTTGAGCTGGGACTTTGAGGCCTAGGCTAGGCCCTGCCCTCAGCTGCCTCTTCTCTCCTCCCCCGGGTTATGGACTCAAAGCTGAGCCAAGCATAAAACAGACAGCCTCTCTCTGCCTTTCTGTTCCCACCCCCACCCTGCCAGAGTCTGGTTTTCATCACCCATTAATCACTGACGCTTCCCATAGCCTGTGTCTGTCTATCCACACTCTCCAAGCCTTGGGGGAATGGATAGGATGGATAGACAGGCAGATGGTCTCTGACTTGGGGAAACTTTGGGTCACATTGGGGGCTTCTCCCTACTCCAGGCAGGGGAGAGGCATACTTCCTGGGCTTTTAGAGGTCACCCCACCCCCAGCCTGGCCTGAAGCCACCAGCTCAGCCCACCTCACGCTGGCAGCAGGCAACAGGGACCATTAGCTGCCCTGTTCTCCAGGAAGGAAATGGGTTGGAGGGCTGAGGAATTCTAATTAAGCTTCCCCAGCTGGCAGGCCGGCTGGCGGGGTAAGAGCTGGCACCTCCATCCCCACTAGGGTTGGTGCCAGGCCTGCCCAGCTTTGGCCTGCTTGGTGCCCACCTGCCACTGTGGGAATCCCATTCCTGGGTTGCAAGAAGTGTCCTGAAGCTTCCCAAGCATCAGGGTTTTCCATTTATTCCTGTCCCTCCTCCCTCTGTTACCTACCTATGGTCTCTGAAGGAGACAAGGCCTCTGTCCAGAAATGAGCTTTTGCCTTTATCTACTATCATTCTTGAGCTATTCACAATCACCTATCTGGGCCTCAGTTTCCTTAACTGTCAAATGGGCTAATAATTTTAGTTCATGGGGCTTGAGCTCAGGGACTGGGGGCGTCTTTGAGCTTTTTTGCTCAGGGCTAACACTCTACCACTTTGAACCACAGCTCTGCTTCCTGTGGTGGTTAATTGGAGATTGAGAAAGTCTCACCGACTTTCTTGCCCAGGCTGGCTTTGAACTGCAATCTTCAGATCTCAGCCTTCTGAGTAGTTAGGATTACAGGTGTGAGGCACCAGCATGTGGCTCCTTTATCTATCTTAAGATTACCCTTCTATTATTACTAATTAGCACAATTACTACTTACTGGGTGTTTGCTTGGCCTACCAGATTGGAAAGAGCATAAGGTACCCTGGGAAGGGTGTCTAGCGTCATTGTCTTTGATGTCATTGTCATTTTAGGGTGATAGCCTGACTGAATTTGATGGCAGAATTTATTGCCTGGGCTCCTTGCCTTTTGTATTCACTTGGCCCTACTGTGTGCAGGCCCCAGGACCTCCCTGTTGACCTAGATCTGCTTAGCCTTTCTATAAAATTCATTTCTTAATATAGGAGTATTCAGAAAGCAATGCTTATCCCAAAAGGCATGAGGTTCTAATGGCAAATAGCTGGTGCTATAGCTGAGTGGGAAAGAGTCCAGGCCTGAGGAGGAGCTTTGTTTCAGAGGTTGTCAGCTGACCTTGCATGGAGGGGAAACTCCAATCACTGCACTGGAACTTTCCCTCTCAACACTAGATCCAGGCCCCTCCCAAGTGGTTGCTATGGGAGCTGGGTGCCCAGTGGTCATTGTGGCACAGGAGGGAAGCCAGGTGGTGGCAGTTAAGAGGGCCATTTGTGAAGTGTGTTAGATTTGGGGCTGAATCCCAGCTTTATTGTCAGTTGAAGTGACCTTCCTCTATAAATATTGGTTCTTCCTGCCTGGCAGAGCTGTTGTGGGTTAGTTGATATAATATGGTTAAAGTACCTAGCCAGAGAGGGGACCCTATACATGGCAGTTATCAGCACTGGGGAGCCCTTAGTAGTTCACTACCTGTATAGGGCATTGGTGGACGACTGCAGTAGAGTTGGGATAGAGTCTGAAAGCCTGCAAATGATATCAGGGATGGCCGTTACTTGCTGGTTCAGTACTCTGAGTTGCCCCAGAGCTGTGGTCTCTAGAGCCCAGGAGTTTCCAGCTCTGGCTACACCCCAGCCTTTCCTCGGGGCAGAGCTCTGTTCTCATAGCCTCCTGTCAGCTAGTCTGCTCTGGTGGGTGGGAGCAGCTTCATAGAGGATCATAAGATGACATTGATCCCCCAATGGTTTCCGCCGGCGCCAGGATGCTGTGTGGCTGCCAGTTCCCAGCTGTTACCATACAAGATCGTAAGATCTCCAGCAGGCATGGAGGGCCCCCTCAGAGGGCAGAGCCCGCCAGAACCAGAATTCTGAAGTCATAGGACTTCTTCCCACAAATCCAGAGTACACATCTGCATATCATTGCATAGTGGTTTGCATACATTTGCATCCAAGTTGACATCCTTTCCCCTCATACAGTTCCTTTTTCCACCTCTACTAAAACTAAACACATAAGTTGTAGTGTTGACGCTTCCAAATTCAAATCCAATCCCACTCCAAGGGTGTTTTTCAGGGCCCGTGATCCGCACCAGCCTGTCTTAAGAGTTTTTGGGGAAATGGAAAATGTGGACAATATTCCTTGCTCTTAGAGAAAGAAAACTTGTGGTTGAGATCTAGGAAAGAGTGTCAGATGGGGGATAGACAAGCAAGCCTGTGGTGGATGCACATGGTAAGGGTGCTGGTGTTTGGGAGTTATGAGCTCAGAGTGCACTGAAAGGCAGGAGTGGTGCGCTTCAGAGTCCCCAGCACAGGGCTGGAAAGGAAAGGAAATCTGTGACATTAACTCCCTGGGTCCATGGTCCTCACTGGAGCAGGCCCTATTGTAATGATTGCTTTCCTTTGTACCATTATCCTGCACTGAGTCTCTATAGATTGAGTCAAGTACAGACTCACCAAATCTTGGTGAGTTGGCTGGCCATGAAGATCCTGAGTGGGCATTAGTGACTAGCCCACCCAGTGCTGCTCCATTCAGATGATACAGATTAGGAAATGGAGGCACAGAGAGGTGGGTAATATAGTCAATGTATTCAGGAGTTCACATAGGAAGGGGAAGGGCTGGAGCATGAATACAGGCAGTCTAGCTCCTTGGCCTTTGGTCATCATCCTCTATGGCTTGCTGGGAGGGACCTGCTGCACTGGGAATTGGGGCAGAAGTTATTAGTCAGGAGCTAGTGGGACCAGCTCTGGAGTCTGACTGCCTGGGTTCAAGTCCTGACTCCACCAGCTGTGTTACCAGCTGTGTGACTTCAGGGAAGCCATATGATTTCTCAACTGAGGTTTCCTCACCTGTGAAGTGAGCAAAGAAGGGCAACTACTTTAGGGAAAGCTGACTCACCTGGCACTGTAGTTAATGTGCAATACATGTCTGTGCTGGGTGGGGCCTGAGGGTGGAAGGGTGAGAATGACTTGCTGATTGCTTTGTGTGGAGATCCCCTTGGCTGGAGCTAAGGCTATTCAGGGAAGGAGAGGTGGGACAAGGCTAGGCCGAGGGCATGGATGCTAGAATGCTGCCTTCGGCTCCCAGATCCTCTATCATTTCTGACAGGAAGCTGTCAAGATGTGTGCAGAGCCCCCTTCCATAGCTTGGCAGGTTTTCCTCACTGAGCTCAGCTGATCGCTCATAGAGATGCTGGTTGCTGGTGATCCTATCTATGCCTCCAAGGATAGGAGTGAACAGTGCCCTTGAACTCTTGGTTCTCAAACGCCACCAACTCCCCATGACCAGCCTCCAGGGCCTTACAGCTTGATTGAGTTTGGAGTTGTCTGTCATGGCATTTGAACATGCCTTAAGGTTATCATTTACTTTCTTTGGATTCCTTAAAAAATTAATAAATCTCCAAAAAAGACAGAGACTTTGGTCTTTCCATATCATTGGGGAAGGGTGATGAGAGTCTAATGTCAAAGCAAGAATCTAGGGGTAGCAGGAAGACTGGGCTATGGGGGGGATTATGGGGGTACTGAATAGGAGCAGGGCAGAATGAGGAGTCCTTGAGGTGTGTGAAATAACCAGAAAGCATCTGTAGTTTTCTGGAATATTCTCTAATGAGAGACAGTGTCCAGAAATCTACTTTGAAATAAAGCTACATTCCCACCTCTACACCTTTTATTTAAGCACATTTGAACAGGTGGATGGATTGCCAGCCAGACCAACAATGGGAGCTTCTGCAGTGATGCTCCCTAGTGAATACCACCCATGGAGGTGACTGCTAGTCTGACCTTCAGCACTCTAGGTTCCTGACTTTAGAATTCTAGGTTCCTAACCTTCATATAAATGGTATCATATGGTCTGTTTGGGGCTAGTTTATTTTTTTCAACATAATACCTGGGAGACTCACTTGCACTGTTGTGTTGGAGCTGACCCTCTTTGTTATTTCAGTGATTGCATAGTGTTCCAGTGTGTGAGCACACTATGTTTGATCGAACCATTCTCCTGTGCATGGCTATTTGGGTTGTTCTGGTTTGAGAGAGCCATGACTAAGGCATTCCTGTGCATGCCTATTCATGGACACATGCATTCATTTCTCTTGGGTATGTCACTTAGAGTGGCATTGCTGGGCAATGTGGAGTTTGGGCTTTTATTGTTGTTTTTTAGAAATCACTGTTCTTCCTTGTCACCGACTTGTCTTTGAGACAGGACACAAGCTCCTTGCATGAGCCCACCAAGGGTAGCTGCTGGGTGTGAAGGCCACATACCTGGAGCACTTGCATTGTTAAGGAGTTACTTGACATGGCCTGGAATGCTAGAGGTGGAGTTGAGGAGTTGTTTCCCCTCTCTCTTTTCTCTCTCTCTTTTTCCTAGGCCTGGAATGAAGATCAAAAGAGGGTAGGGCCTAGGGCAAGGAGACAAGAAGGTGGTGCAGGTAGCTGAATGAAGCTGCAGGACCAATAACCTGTCAAAAGTCCTGTGGTCAGTGAGAGTACCAGCTCTGGTGAGCCTCCCTCCTGCTCCTGCATGGAGGAAGCAATTAGGGCCAGTCAGGGGTACTGGTCGTAGACCTGCTGGGCACTCCACTCTCTAATTCACTTTCAGGCAAGCCTTTCCTGGGTGCTCTTCCCTTGCCTGGACACCAGACCCGGCTCTGGCTCATTCTTCTTCTAGGGAGACATTTACAGGTCTTGAACTGATTGAGTCATGGAAGAAAGAGGGGGGACAGAGCCTGAGGGCTGGTGTTGCCTAAGACCCCATGCTAGGACCTGCCTATGAGCCAGCTGTGAGTGAGTGGCCCCCAGAGAGCATTCCTGGAAAACAGTTTGACCTTAGTAACCCCCTCAGGCTTTCTTGGCTAGACCAGCACATTTAGTCTGAGCTTGGCAAGGCCCAGGCTGGCTTTGAACATGTGGTGAGGTCTTAGAAGGTCAGGGGATGTGCTACCTTGGCCTCCTGGCAGCTGACAGTGGACATCTCTTGTGTGAGGTTCTGGATGCTACATGCTTGACTAATAACAGCTGCAGTTCATGATGAGAAGACTTTGGGCTGTGGCATTAGGGATTCTGTGACTTTATTCCTAGAAGGGAGAGAGGTTGGCTTTGCCTTCATGTATGTGTGTGTGTCTGAGTAATAATGTCTTGTGTGTATAAGCATCTATTACTTAGCCATTTGTTCATTCATTCTGCAAATATTTACTAATTGCCTATTATGTACCACTGGGGATTCTGCAGTGAATAAAAGAGACAAAGTCTTTGCTCTCAAAGGAGCTTATTATACCCAGACACAAGTCTCCATGTGACGTGTGTGCACCCTAAGGCATATATCTGCTGAAACATGTGCTGCTGCTGGAGTGTGTGTGTGTGTGTGTGTGTGTGTGTAAGAGGGGGGGGCGGGAGTCTGAGCATCTGAGTTTCTGAATGTGTATGCGTGTGTGTGTCTGAGCGTGTATGTGTGGAGGGGAGAGAATTACTCATCCAGTCAGAACTATTCAAGAAAGGCCTCTCCCAGAGCAGTTATATTTTCATAAATAAAAATAATCAGATAATGAGTTCATTTCCGATCTCAAGTTTGATGCCAACATTCCAGTGAAATAAGACCCGCTGGCAGGCTGGCTGCTTTCTGTGTGGCTTGGATTAACTGGTGAAGTGCAGAGGAGAGGGGAGATCTGCTCCTTGCAGGCTGCAAGGAGTGGGGGCAATCCATAACATAGGAGAAGTGTGTGTGTGTGTGTGTGTGTGTGTGTGTGTGTGTGTGCATGCGTCTTTCACCTATCCACAGGCATTGCATTTACAAGGCCTGTGCTTCTCCATTCCTTCCTTGGGGACTGGTGATGGGCCTTGGCTGGCAGCTTTGTCAATGTAGATGGCACAGAAGGGATGAGTGAATACACTGCTGTGATTCAATCTCTGAAGACCCAGAGATGACCTTTTCTCTGAGCACACAGGCCAGAGCTCTTAGATGCTTGCTGGAATGGCAGAGAGAGGGATACAGAAGGAGGCTGTGATTAGAGACTTGCTAAGAGAGGGAGAGGCCATCTCAACCACAACCTCTGCTTCTGCCTGGAATGAAACCAGAGAGTCAAGCAGCCACCTTGATTTCACATCCTTGGCCTTGTACTGTTAGCTTTTTTCTTTTCTTTTTGGGTCCGCTTGTGGGGCCTGAACTCTGGGCCTGGGCACTGTTCTTCAGCTCAAGGCTAGCGCTCTACCACTTGAGCCATAGCACCACTTCTGGCTTTCTTTTTCCTGCTTATGTGGTGCTGAGGAATTGAACCCAGGGTCTCATGCATGCAAGGCAAGCGCTCTACCACTGAGCCACCTTCCCAGCCCCTAGCTTTTTTCTTTTAGTAGTACTAAGCAAGAACTCTACCATTTGAGTTATGCCCCCAGCGCTTTTTTCCTTTTCTTTTCTTTTCTTTTGGGGGGGATAGGGTCTCCCATTTATGTCTGGGTCTGTCTGGACCAAGATCTTTTTATTTACACTTCTAGAATAGCTGGTAAGAAAGTTGTGTGCCATTGTACACAGCTTATTGGTTGAGATGGGGCTCTTGTAGAACTTTTAGGATTACAGGCATCAGCCACTGTGTCCAGCTCCATCCCAGGTTCTCATATCCATATCTGTCTCCTATGTATCTTCTCCCTACTTGGCCCTCTCTGCCTTTGTTTCTTTTCCTTTCCTTGGACTGCTTTTCCTACAACACTGTGAATCCAAATCATTCATCCTTAAAGGTTTAAATGTCACCCCCTTCATGAATCTTATCTAACTGCCGGGTAGGAGCATTTTCTCATACTTAGCAGTGGTCACTTCTTAAAGTTTTCTAGTTTTCCTCCCAAGAAACGGGATATGCATCTAACTCAGGCAACTGATTTTCTTGCACAGGCCCTGGCCAGCCTGAAGCTGAGGCTGTTCCTGAACTCTGGCCAGAATGGTGCCCTGAGTTGGCTTCTAGATCTATCTTGGGGCAACTGTCAAGGCTGTGCCCTCAGAAATACTTGCTTTATGGGGCTGGGAAGGTGGCTCAGTGGTAGAGTGCTTGCCTTGCAAGTATGAGGCCCTGGGTTCGATTCCTCAGTACCACATATACAGAAAAAGCCAGAAGTGGCACTGTGGCTCAAGTGGTAGAGCGCTAGCCTTGAGCTGAAGAGCTGAGGGACAGCGCCCAGGCCCAGAGTTCAGGCCCTACAACTGGACCAAAAAAAAAAAAATAGATCCTACTTTAGCGAGCGGTTATGGGTACCTGGTCCAAAGAATGCTCCATCCATGGGTAACTATTA